GTTTGTGGCCCTATTCGTGCCTCGCTGCCTGCAGGTAGGGCTGGGAACGTGGCCCTCCGAGCTGGGGGGGGGTCCAGCGTGTCAATCCGGAGGAAGAGAGGGGAGGGCTTGATCTCTGCAAAGCCCATCAGCGCTTGTGGCTCGTGTTTGAGGTGTTACGGAGCAGTGGAGCATCCCGACTTGTTTTCTCCTGCCTTTCAGCTGCCGATTCCTTGCACTTATTTATTTATTATTTATTTATCTAATGCGTCCAGTCCTTCATGAAGTAGTTGAGCAATTCATTGGGTAGTTTTTCCCTGGGTCTTGCTCATCTTTTCACCTGCCTGTTCACGTCTCCCCGAATCAGCGGAGACTAGTAAAGCTCCAAGTAAACAGGGACGGGTTTTGCCATGGCAACTCAGCTGCCGATTCCTTGCACTTATTTATTTATTATTTATTTATCTAATGCGTCCAGTCCTTCATGAAGTAGTTGAGCAATTCATTGGGTAGTTTTTCCCTGGGTCTTGCTCATCTTTTCACCTGCCTGTTCACGTCTCCCCGAATCAGCGGAGACTAGTAAAGCTCCAAGTAAACAGGGACGGGTTTTGCCATGGCAACAAAAGTTGCTAGGGGATGGGTTGCTGCTACGCAGCGGTGAAGCTGTGATCGTACATCCCACGTGTTCCTAGGCAATGAAAAACTTTTTCACGATTAAACCGCTTCCTGCAGCCTGGACGCACGTTCTGAGCTTGTGCCTCACACGGGTCTGGGTAACAGCTGCTCCCTTCAGCAGACATTTAGTTCTCAGCCACGAAAGTGAGACGTGCAAATACACATCAACACTGAGGAGACCATGCCTACTGCAGTATTCATTCATCCAGTGTAAATTCATGCTTGTGATATGCTTTTCCTTATTATTTATGAAGAACTTGTTTTCTCCCACCGTATGACTGTTTCAGTTCCTCTGCCCCATCTGTAGGTAGCAAGGACAACAGCATCATGTTTACATTGCAGCTGAGAAGAGACACCATCTTAGGCCAAATTACCAGGCTGTTTCAGTGAGTCATGTAGGGCTGGGAAGCCCTTCTCTCTAAGGGACAACATCTTTTGCAAGAGATAGGAGACTACTTAAAAGTGAAAGAGTCTGAGCATAAAGAAAATGTTCAGTAGGACTAATAGAATGCAGTGCTTGAAAAGAATCAATGATGCTGGCAGTCCTTTTTTTTCCCTGTGTTTTGAAAGGCCACAGTACTTGGATGCTATTACAACTCTTTCAAGCAAAAGATTATTCATCTTCTGTGCCACCTCCCAGCTCTTATTTATTGTTTTTCTCATATGCCTGATCAAAACCACCTTAATATTAGAATTTTAGAAAGCTAAAAAAAAATTATTATGCATAATATAAATTATTCCAGTCTGTATGGTTCTTAGAGGGAATTCTTCCTTAAGCTGTTAGAAACACTAAACCTTCCTTTCTCTCTCTTGACTAGACCTGCAGACAGTGCAGTGAATGCAAGATAGTGTTTATAGAGCAATGTGCATTCTGAATTCTGGAGAAACCAAAGAAGCTCTCAAATGGTGTCCTGCTGGCAACTGGAGTAATGCAAGTGAGCTTTGACAGGCCACGTTATCTGGTCATGTTAGGTCTGGTCCTTCCCTGTATCACCTTATGAAGTCACTTAGAACTGGGGAAGATACCTCCCTATCTGCTCATTGTGTGATGCAAGTATGCTTACCTGAGTGACTTGAGTTGGCAAGGAGTTAAACATAATTTACTTAAGGAGATAGGGTTGATATGAGAATAAAGATCTAAGTAAGAACCAGAGAGAATGAGTCTCTGCAGAGTTTTGTTTGACCTCTTCACTCTCTTCTCATTCTGATGTGGAAGATGAAGTGCTTGCTTACTCATAACCAAAAGACATGTTGAGAGATATGAAGACAAACTAACTGTTCTTGTCCATGAAGTATAGGCTGTGTGATCTTGTGTGTGAGAGCTGGGGCAGCTTATGGTATGCTACACAATTGCTTCATCCTCTTTCACCCTCAGGTATTTTTATGAGATGAGCAGAAGTGTTTTTGTGTGACCTCTTCAGAGCTTTGCCTGTGGAAGATGGCACCTAGCTACTGAAGAAATGGTGGCAGTGAGAAAAGAGGACTTTTCCTCTCTTTTCAGTTAAGGAATAAACTGCAGAAGAGGGGACTCCCAAGGCAAACAAAAAGAGCTCTTTTGCAGAGGAACAAATAGGTTCCAAAATTAGAATAACTGGCAGCATTTTCCCACAAGAGTTCACATTATACACTTATATCTATACCACTATTTTTCTCTGTGTGCCTCAAAAAGTAAGTGTTGAAAAGCACTGTAAAAAAACACAACAGAATTTGTTTTCTCTCAGTTACCAGCTGTAGGGGGAAGGTCAGTATTAGCAGTTTGACATGGAGTGGCCTGTGTGCCAGGCTCTCCCTGCTCACCTGGTGAGCAGCTGGTGCTGCCCAGGAATTTCCTGCTATCTCAAGGTCTCTGTCCATCCTGCTTGTTTCTCTGCCTTCCCTGGGAAGGCCAGCATCTTGAGCACACTCCGAAGGGCACTGATACTGTGCAGAGAGCAAGCCCATCTGCACAGTAAGAGAGCATTTCTTTGGTTTTCTAACACTTTGTGGTGGCTGAAGTCGAAAAAGGAAATCTGCAGGGGGTGCTAAGGCAGTCTGGGTTCAAGGAAAGGGTTCCTTCCAGAAACTGTGCCTGGCACTTCCCCTGCTGCTCTGCAAAGCTCAGCCACCAGCACTGCCCCACCCTCTCCAGTCTCTTGGAGGGAGCTCTGGGCCTTCTTAGGGCCTCCTCCACTTACTTGGTCATGAATTCTCTGGGAGAGTTGCAAGAGGGGTACTTGCAATAATAACCTGTTGAAATAATGAAATGTCAAATACATATTATATATACAACATAAATAAACAATATTATTAGCAATAAAGAGGAAAATGCAGAACTCTTTATCCCTGAGCCAAAAACACAACCAGTTTCCAAAAGGCTGGATTATCACTGTAATTTCAAAGCCAGCCAAGAGCTTCATTCAAGCTGTTTCCATTCCCTGTCAACACTTTATGGCTTCTGCTTAATTTAACATACAGCAGTGTTTGGTTTTCTTGCATGCTCAGATATTTCATACCCAGGTAGATCATCCAGTCCTGTAGGGCTGCAAAACTTGGAGCTCCTAGTTGCCATTACCATGTCAAACCTTCCTTCCTTGGGTAGAATTGCTGTGGCAATCAGATAGAACTGCTTGAAGCTGATATAAATTGAGCTGTGACATTCAGTTGCAAGTACTGATTAATAGTTCCCTTTGGACTAGGATTTTTTTAACTTCTTTAACCTCTTGCCTAAGTTTGTTAGGGACTAGTATTACTTCAATGAATTCAGTAGCATCACACCTGTGCAAGCAACTTCAGGCCTGAAACCTGCATCATTAAATACAAATCTAGTGTGTTAGGAGAACTTTCATGAAGTGGAAAGAGTAGGGAACATCGTTGGTAGTTTTCCTAGCAGTCAAAATTCTGATTTTATTACAGTAAGCTGGAGCTTGGACATTGACCTCTCCAAGGGAGCAGTGGTTTGCCACAAGCTCAGTATTTCCATTTCACTCTCTTCAGTGAGCAGATTTGGTTCTGTTATGGCATACTATCTTTTTCATTTTTAATTATCCATATTTAAGTACAGCTTATAGGCAGTTTCAGTCTGTTTAGGACTTTGCCTCTGTTTCTCAAGGCTATGGCTGTTATATCAATGCTTAGTCCTACAGTTCAAAAGTTCAGGCAAAAACATTAAAAAAACCCCACTTTACCCTGCAATTTGTCAAGTTCCTAAGATTGCAAACTCTAGTTAACTGATAGAAACAGTCTGCATGAGAGGCAGCATGAGCCCTTGAGGGATGCTGGCCTTTGTTACCTGATACATTCGTTTTTTTTTCAATCCCCGTGCAAACCCAGTAGCACATTAGTGTAAAAGATGGGGAGTGAGGACCCTGCATTTGGGAGGGAATGTTCCCTGCAGCACCATTGGGCTGTTCTGGGCCAAAACACCAAGTGCCCTGGTTTTGGTGCAACTCTACCAAGCTTGTTTCTTTGTTTAGAAATAAAGTGGAGGAAAGGTCTTTCCTGGGCTGTTTTTCTTCATGTCACCTGGAGCGTCTGTAGGCAGTTTTGCTGTCCTGCCGCGTGGATAAAAATCTGCTTTGCATGAAACCTCTCATTGCAGGTAGGAAGGATGAGCTCCTATGCTGACATCTGCGGCTCCAAGCAGGCGCAGGGCAGCACCGAGGGAGGGTACCAACGCTACGGAGTTCGGTCCTACCTGCATCAGTTTTATGAGGACTGCACAGCTTCTATTTGGGAGTATGAGGATGATTTTCAGATCCAGAGATCGCCTAGCAGGTGGAGCTCTGCATTCTGGAAGGTACTGCCCATAGTTGGAGAGAAACTCCCATTTTGAAATTTTCACATGTAACTAATGGTGTTGGGTATTCATCCAGAAAGGCCTTCTGTTGCTCACTTTTCACAGAGAAGACTGACTACTGCCTGATAACAGGGCTCTCATACCAAGATACTTCTGCTTTCAAGGGAGTCTTGGGGTCTTTGGATCCTCTAGTTTCTCTGCTACAAGAAGCCATGCCACTGAAACATCAAAGTCTTCTCTGGGAAACCTCAGCTGTAGCTTGAAAGTGCAGTTTACTTCTTACTGTGCACCCACAGTAGTCCTGCCAGATTAGTGGTAATAGGAGGGGTATGTAAACAGTAGTAAGTCTGGGACTGTGTGACCTAGGGATCAAGAAAATGGCAAGATCACTAAGGTCAGGGAAGTTGACAGAATTGGAGAACACCAGTGGTTGGATGGGTTCTGTGAGACCATCTAATTCAACTAATCTAATCTAATCTAACCCTCTGCTCTGATGGTTAGGCCATTATTTGTGAACCAAATTTTGCACTTAAACCTGAAATATGCTAGAAATACTCAGTAATCAGTTCACAGCAATAGCAACTTCCTTCTAATTCATGCAAAGGAATGACATTTCATGGAGTGAAAGCAAGTGGTGGATATGACACAGGCTATCAGCAGGGACTGAACTGTTGGTGTTCACCACCACCTGAAGCTTAAGAAATCATCAGTCATGCAGCACTGGGGTTAAACTGTGATCCTTTCTGTGATGGGGCCTTTGGATAGGAAATGCTGTTTAGTCATATTAGATGCATCTTCCAATTGTTTCCAGAAATGTCAGAACTGAATTATATAAATGAGTTGTATTCTAGTTCTAGTAGGGTCACATATGACCTAAAAGAAAAATACCAGCCTTCTCTTAGAAGAGAGAACTGTACCTGCAAGACACTGTGAAAACTAAATGCCTCCTAGGACCACTTACCAACTAAAAACTGGAAAAGCATATTAATTGGGGTTTTTTGTTTCTTTGTTTGTTTTCCAGGTCGGACTCATCTCTGGGACGGCTTTTATGCTGATAGGTTTAACGGTTCTTGTAGTGGGCTTTCTTGTGCCACCAAAAATTGAAGCTCTTGGGAGAGATGATTTTGTTGTGGTGGATACCCATGCCATTCAGTTTAATGGGTCTCTTGATATATGCAAGCTGGCAGGAGCAATCTTGTTTTGCATTGGAGGGTCCACCGTGGCAGCGTGTCTGATGATGTCTGCTTTCGCTAAAAGTTACTCCAAAGAAGAAAAGTACCTTCAGCAAAGATTTAAAGAGAGAATAGCTGATATCAAAGCCCATGCAAACCCAGTCACAAAAGCGCCAGCACCGGGAGAATCCAAAATACCTGTCACTTTGTCCAAAGTTCAAAATGTCCAACCTTTATCTGAAACCTGACCCTTTCCTTAGGTTTTGTTTCTCACTTGTAGATCACTTTAACTGGAAAATACCAGCTGTTGTTGGCATACGTGCTAGTCAATTACAACATCGAGTGCTCTGCTGTACAAACACACAGCTGATGGGGAAGCTGCTCCAATACAGATGTAGGGTTGGTAAAAGACCAATTATGTGATTAGACCCATGACCAATGTATTTAGCATATTTGAGCATTTTGATCAGTGCTGACCAAATAAATCCTTGCAACAGTGATGAGGCATTTAGCTTATCAGATTGCATCCCTGGAAAATAAGGGAAGATGTGATGAATATGATATGATATGACATAAAATATGACAGCTGTACCAGGAACACCCTGCATCCCACTATTTAAAGTTCAGATCAGTTGGTTTTTTGGTTTTTTTTTTCCTCTTTCTGTTAAAAATACTGTTTAGTCTTACTTTTACCACCTGGTTCTGCTGTCTGGGAAGCCAAACTCCTGCCCTTGCAGTTTGTGCTTGTCTTCCTGTCACGTGATACAGTCTTTATCATAATAATACTGCACAGGTAAAACATAAGTGACAGCGAGTGCCCTTAATTTGATCCTGACACACAGTGTTACTTTCTGGGAAAGGCAAGTTATACTTGATCCTGAGTTACAACTAACTGCAAAACTGCCACTTTTGTCTTAGTTGTTGCCATATTAATAAAAAAAAAAGATCCATATTAATAAAAAAAAAAAGATAAGGAATTCATATAAGAGGAGGAACATCATCCTTGTGTATCTTTGGTTTGATAGTTTCTTTCATTGTATTGTATCATGTTTAAAGTTCATAAAAATGTTTCAGTTTTGGCCAGGTACAGAGTACTAAATGTGGTTTGACATGCCCAGGCCCCGTATTCTGTCAGTAAATTAATGCCATGTTAGATGAACTTAAACTTGTCTAAAGACATTTTGAAATGCTGTTTATATTTTTATAGAGGATAGAAAAAGTTATGCTTAACCAGATACATATGTGTAAATGCTTACCTGAAGATTTGTCCTTTCACAGAAGACCCTTAATTATTTTCCCACCCAGGGCAATTATTTAACTGTCTTGATCTATGGATTTAAATTGAACTGTATAAACAAAGATGTGACATTTGTACTCTCTGACAGTATGTGCCACCTTATAGTTCTGTCTATTTTTTGAATGGATTGAATAAAATTCTAGGCGTAAGCCAACCATGGATTTTTGTGAAAAGTCTCTTTCTAGTCAAACAGGTTTCTCTGTGAATTTACTATTTCAGTTTGAAAGAAGAAATTAGTAGTCAAACTCACCAGTCTCTTAATGCAGTTTCTTTTTTTCAGATTTCATAGGCCAGGAGGTCACTTTGGTGCTGAATCAAAAAGATTGCAGCATGCTAATGACAGGTATGTAGTAATGGCTATGCTCTTTCCCATGCTAATAAATGTTTTGGTGGTCTGTGATTCAGTTCAGACCTCCCCAACATAAATAAACCAGAACATGCAAGTTGGAAAGTTTCAGCTGAATCTGTGACAGTTATCGTGGGTGATAACAGCATCAGAAGTTAAATTTGCTGAAAAGGAAGTGCCTATCTTAGCAACGCAATTGCGGCGAGGCAGATGAAGTGGTGCTGAAGAGGAAAAGATGAGAAGACTGGTAAGGTAAGGAGCTGTGTGTTATTTATAAAGGAAGCCAGCAAGACCATGGGTGATGGGTAGCAATTCCTTCCAAGGCACACAGCAGGACTGGGAGAGGCTGTCATTGCTGCCCTTCATTAGTTCTTCCAGGTGAGGAGGGTCTTGAGTGCTTTCTTTTCAGGTTGGGAGGAGTTTTGTTTACTGTCATTGGTTTTCACTGCTGTTGGTGTGTGTGCAGCAGAGAGTCAAGCTGTCCTGACCTTTTCAGTGGGGAGTTTTTAATTAAAAATTGCGCATGGAAGAAATGTGACATTTTAAGATCTACAGTGAAGTTCACCGAAGGAGATGAGGGTGAGGACTCCTGTAGCTATTACTGAGTCCCTTCTCTCCACCTACCTCTTGTTAGCACTGTGCTGGAAGTTTGACTGAAAAATCCATCTGGAAAAGACAACACAGGTTGTGTTTCTGTCCCTAAAGTGGCTGTATCAGTATGTAGTTCATAAAACATGAGACCTGCATCGCCTTAACCTGGTGTTAGTGAGAAAGCAAAACCCATGCAGATCTCACCGAAGCTTCCTGGGATAGGAAATGCGTTTGGGATTTATGAGGAGCAGAAAAGCTGCTAACACTGTCATGGCTAATGCTGGCACTCATATTTCACCTCATTAAATCCTTGTTTCAGTCGCTTAGATCTCCAGAGGCTGCTCTCCTTCACAGCAAAGATTCGATGCCACAAAGGGCTTTTGTAGGAATACTGAGCAACAAATTACTCTGGTACTAAGAAGCCACATATTGGAAAGTTTAAGACATGAGAACCATTTTCAAAGATCCATTTCCTTTTAATGTTTTAACACCTTCATCATTTGGTGCAGGAATTGAAGCATCAGCAGAAGAGCAGTGGCAATGTGCTTTTTGCTGTTCTCATGGAAAATGCTTGTGATATGGCCTCCAGCTGGGGAGCAGTGAAGGGCAGCCAGGCTCTCTGGAAACTTTCCAGTGAGGCAGAGGGCAATTTGTCCCTGCACATATTGTTTCCCCACCATATTTTTTTTTTTCCCTTTTCCCATCCCCATCAAACTGCAGCTTATGCACCACTCCAGGACTGTCTGGGACTCCCTTTCCCAGCACTGGCTGCCATCATCTTTCCAAAGGGCACATTCATGAACACCCTAGTGCAAATTAAATATGGCTTGAACAGCCAATCTCTTATTTTTCCAACTCTTTTACCTTCCCACCCTTCAAGGCTTCTTCAAGTTTCTTTATGCTCATGTTATTTCTTGCCCCTTTTCTAGCCTCATTTAGCTTAAAATTACAATGCAACCATAGCCCAACGTAATTTTCTCTGCAACTGTGGTGAAAGGTATTTTTCAGTCTTCGTGGTAGTCCCTGACTTCATTTTTGTTGATACATGCTGTCCAGAATGTTGGGTCTGCTTCCCCTACCACACTGCAGAAAGCTTCTCTTGACTCTGTTCTGTCCTCCCCCCCCTCCAGGCTGTCATGACCCCTTTATCTTCCATTTGTTCCCAGGGCACAGTGAGTCACAGGCAAAGGCAGACACGCAGATACATCCCCTCCTCCCGAGCTGACTGTAAGCAGATCTAATTCCTGGTTTCTGCTACAGCCTCAGCCTGCCATTGCCAAGGATGCGATTTTTAAATAACGTACAAGCAGAAGCAAACAGCTCTTCAAGAAAGCAGCAGCAGGGTGGGGAGGCTGCAGCGCCCTGACCAGCGGCCGGGGGAGAAAGAGGTTTGGCAAGGGGACAACAGCAGCAGAACCTGCCTATTTGGGAGGTTGTTCAGCCCCCAGGGATGTGAAAATCCAGGTGAGCCAGCAAAAGATTGCAAGAACCTTCTCAGTTGGATGCACTTTGCCAGCAGCTTTCTGTTAAAGAGCTAAGAGCAAAGCAAAAATTTGGGAAAAACAAAGGAAATAGCACTTTGGCTCATTCAGCACTGACCAGTCATCCTGTCATTACACAGCAGGCTGCCCTCTCAGCTCCCTGCACCTCAGGGGGATCGAGACAAAACAATGCTCACTGAGCTGGCTTGGAGGGGGCAAGGCTCCTTCCTTATCCTATCTATTCCCCTGCTGAGAGAAGCAGCATGTCCACGGGGCATTGCCCCACCCTTGCTGGCTGGCATTAATGCCCACACACCATTTACAGAACAACGTTCTGATTTTGCCAGGTCAGCCCCATGGCACAGTTGGTTCCTGAGGAACATCATTGCAAATGGGGAGACCCATGTAGCCTCCTGCTTCATACAGTTAGAGACCACACGTGCTCCTTCTGGAGCCTTCTGATCTCAGGGCAACCAACCCATCCACTCCCTGACTCTCTCCAGCCCTCACCTGGGTGTGCAGCAGAGCACACAGCCAGCGTTTCCTGCATTAGTTCACTTGATCCACATAAAGCAGGGCAGAGCTCAGTTTTCCTGTCGGATAATTTACAGAGGAACAATTCTGAAAATAATCTCTGCATGTTATCAGCAAGTCAGGCCAATGTTTCTAATGGCCCTGCAAACAGAAGACAGCATGCAAGTAACTGGTTTTATTGTTTTGCCTAATAATTTGCAGCCGTTTTTTTACAGGCCCACTTTTTACATAATTTACCATTCATAGGTTTTTGCAAGAAAAGATGGGAGATCGTTTTTAAACACTTCTAATAAGCTAGTCTATTGATCAATGTCCTAGGGATGCTGCTCCAGCAATTTCAGCCTCAAGACCCAGGGCTTCAGGCTGTTACCTGGTGAAAGGGACCCCCAGTGTGAGGCTTCTTTGGCCAGCAAGTGGCCTTTCTGGAATGTCATTACTTCCCTGTGTCTATGCCTAGTGACTTCAGCTGCCCTTTCTCTCCCTGCCTCCTTCAAGCATCTCATGCCCTGATACATCCTACCTCAGCCTTCACATCTATTTTCAGCACAGCATCCAGGGGTGAGGCAGGGAGCCCCCTGCTCCAGACACATCTTGGAGGAGTGCAAAACATGCCTGCCTGAAACGCTGGCAGGGAGGAGGCAGGAAGGGGGAGAGGAGAGTGGGAGGGAATCCCTGGGGGACATCTGGCAAAACTCAGCATTTCAAGCATCACTAGTGGTCATCTGTCAATGAAGATCAGGTGAGATTATGAGATAGATATTCTGTGAGATAGTGAATACTGAAAGTATAGAAAAACTTGCTGCAGGTCTAAAACCTGTGACCAGAAAAAGATTAACACAGTGGCTGAAGTCTTCATTGTAGACATTTAAAAAAACCCAACAAAACAACTTTTAACATCAATATTCTGTTCACCACAGATGGCTAGACAAGCATGAGGACCTTATTCTTGGACAAGTGCACTGTCCCTAGGGCAGGAACACATTTTCCCCTTCATTGTACTGTGATAAAGAAATCTCTTCTGATAGCTCTTGGTCAGACTGGGTTCAGCTCTCACCTGACCCCTTCCTCCTGAAACAGGAGCAAGTTTGTGCCAAGACAAAAATATTTACCTCAAAGACTGCTGAAC